TTTTTAAGCAAACTAGCCATCATAAGGGGGGAGGGAGGGGGAAGGGGGAAAATTCAAATGATTTTTATTATGTTTATTATTGAGATTTAATTAGTAAGAATAGGAAGGGGGTGGAAGGGCGGAAGGGAAGAGTTTAACATTTTTTTATTGCTCGATTACACTTTATTTTATTTTATTTTTTTTAACGTAATAAATAAAATTTCTTATTACGATTCCAACTGAGACTTATGATGATGACTTGTACTAATAATAATTCTTATTATTACTAATATTATTATTATTATTATTATTTACATACAATTAATTTATTTTTTGTTTCATTAGCGATTTTTCGCGTGTATAATTTTCAAAAAAAAAACTTATTAATAACATATGTTTAATATTAAAAAAATTTAATCGTCCATCGTCTTTTTTTTTCTATTGAGAAAAAAAATCTTAATGGGCGTGTAACGTAAATATCAATGTTGGGTTATTTCACGATGTTTTGTTTAAATTTCTCTTAAATTCAAGGTTTTAAAAAGTTTTCCTAGTTTTGTCACTAGTAAAAAATGGCGGAAGCTGTTTTTAAATTGGTTTTTGCTTTGATGTATTTGAAACTCTTAACTTTTACATGTAAATAACTTTAAAAATAAATGAATAAAATTTAGGAAGGCATATATTTAAGGCTGTTTATGTTCAGCGTAAAATAAATTGATTGCCCCCCCCCCAATGTTTTTAGTTATGCGTTTTTTTTCCCCTGAATTTTTCAAACTAAGGTTTTTTTCAGGTCGATTTTGCTTTAAAATTTATTAAAAATATTTTTTAACTGTTTAGTAAAAAATGTTTAAGCTAAAAATAAAATAATTTACAGGGAAAATTCTAGAATAAATATGAGGAAATTATGAAATTAAATTTTTTTTTTCTTTCTTTTATTATTTATAGTTTATAAGATGAATTACTTAAGTTTTTAAATGCATCAGCATATTTTATTTTATTTTATTTTTTTACGATGCTGCTTTAAATTTTTATTATTATTAACTTTCAGTATATTTTTATAATTTTGTTTTTAAATGATATTCAAACAGTTTTTTTTTTTTTTTTGTATTGATCTCTCAAGTAATTTTATTAATAGGGATGATTATTTGCGAAAAGGATATGGCAGGGGCAAATAATAATAGTAATAATAATAACCATTGAATAAATCATTTATTAATCATTCATTATTTATATAATATTTAACCTTTATCTATAATATTTTTAAAAATTCTACTTTATTAATCGTGTTCGTTTCATTTTTCGACTACAGTAAACACATAATGTTTGTCGTTCTTACAAAATTATTAAAATGTGACCTCACTCAGTGTTTTTTTTTATTTAAATAAAAATTCTTTTCTTTCTTGCAACCTTAAAATTAGACTTTGGAAAATCAAAAAAAAAAACTTTTTTTTTTTTTTTAAACAATAATGTGGACTCGATAAAATTTTATTTGACTAAAATCTAAACATATTCGTTTCATTGCTTTTCACAAGTATTTTATGGTTTTTTTTAAACAATAAAACTAATTTAAAATCGTCTAAAAGTGTAAAAGTTTTTATTTTTAAATAAAATAATTGATGGACTGATCTCTTAAATCCTTTGTTTATTATTATTATTATTATTCGGGTTCAGAAGTTCAGAAATTGAATTTTTTACGTATTATGAGTATAATTTAAATTTTATCAGTCATTTACATTTTTTTTTTTTTTGTTACTATTTTTTACTGTTACTTTCTAGAATGGTTTTTTTTTTTTTTTTTCTCGAGATGGATATTATTCCTTTATTTTGGGTCATTTCTGACATTGTTTTACACGTTTTGAAATGGTTGACTCATCGACTAAAAACATTTTTATAATTTAACATCTGACATTTAACTATATACCGAGTCATTTTTCCGATTCTATGTCATCGAATGTTTTTTTTTTTTTTCATGGAGCGCGATTCAAATTTATTATTTTATTATAAAACCAGTTTTAACATGTCGGTAGGCATTCTATGGGGTTTATTTAATCCCGATCTTTGCGAAAAATAATCCCGTGTGCGTCAACGCGAAGAAGTTTTTCAATAAAATAAAATATCGTAATGATATGTTCAGTCGACATTTTTTTTTCTTCTCTACCTTCATGATTATTATTATTATAATCAAAACCTGCTATGTATTAAAAAAATTTTTAAATTAAATATTAAATTTTTTTTTATTCGTATTTTTAAGTAAGAATAATTTTTTTAAAAATTTATTTTCAAATTTCATAAAATTATAATTTCTTTAATTATTATTTAATAATAAAATTTTCTTTTTTATTTTTTAAATTGTGTAAATATTTTTAAATTGAAAGGATATTACAATTACGTATGAGAAAAAAAAAAAAATGAAAAATTTTACATGCAATGAATAATTACATAAATATTTTTTTAGTCCTCTTTATTTACGTTTCTTTTTTTCATTATTTGTATTATAAAAATAATAAATAAATAATGATTTTTATCCTTAATGAAATAAATTAATAATTGAATGAATTTATCGTTTTTTTAAAAATAAAATTAATAATTTTCAGACGTAAAATAATGTTTAAATAATAGTTATCAATAATTAATTAGTTTTTTGATCCTCTTTTCCTTAATAATTTTTAGTGTTTTTTTTTTATTATTAATTTTATTTGATTTTTACTTCTTTTTTAAAACTTATGTTTTTTTTAAATATAATTATGGGAATTTTAAAATTTAATTTTATTAATTTTTTCTTCATAAAGTTTTTTTTTTTTTATTTAAACATTTTGAATAAATACAAAGAATTTAAAAATAATGATTCAAGTTCAGGTTTTTTTTATTAAAATATTAAAATCATAATATTAGTTTGTCATTTTACGTTTAAATTTGAATTTACATTGAGGACAAAGTTCAAGGTGTCAAATTAATTTTTAACATTTAAAAAAAAAAAAAAAAAAAACAAGTCGCGCTTGTTTTCTGTTAATAATTAAGGTACAAAAATTAATTTTTTTTTTTAGGAAATTAAACATTCTATTTCTATAACGAGTTATTGAAAGTATAATTTCACGTCAATAGCAAAATGAAATTTCCGTTATATTTAATTTACCAAAAAAAAAAAAAAAAAATTCCACGTAGTGATGATAACATTTGTAAAATTATAATATCAATAATATATTAATTGATTGAATTGTGACAAAAAAAAAAAAAAAGGAATAAAACTATTCCAATGGCATAGAGAAAACAAATTGTTAAAAATTTTCTTTGACAAATCAAATTATTACGCACCCATTAAATAATATGAAAATGATTAATAATAATAATGATGATGATGATGATGATGATGATTTTATATATTATCGCGCGAGTGAAAATATATTTTTTCTAAAATATTTTCATTTCTATTATATAAGATAGTGATTTTTTGAAAAACTCAAAATTTTTTTACAATTCCAGGTTTTTATTTTTAATGTCTTAAATTATGTAATAATTTATTTATTATTTTTTTGAATGTTTTTTAACGAGTTTTATTGTTGTTGTTGTTGTTGTTTGGTGAAAGGGGAAATTTTGATCATTTCCATGTGTGTAAATGAAAAAAAAATTTAACGGTTGAACCTACGACTTGTTACGAGTAAGCCCCCTCCCCCACCCTCTTTTTTTTACGTATGACGTACTAATTTGCGTTATTTAAAAAATTATTAATGTTTCTACATAGTTTATTCAAATTCTATTTTTATTATAACTAGTCCGTGTTTTCGATCATAATTTATTATCACAGAATGATTATAAGTAAATTTAAGTTTTATTTATAAAAAAAAAATTTTTTTATATTTTATGTAACTTTTTTTTCTTCCCGTATATTTATTTTTATTACCTAATGTTAATAAATATGTGGTAGTCCTTTTTCGAATCGAGTAACAATATTAAATTTTTCTTTTATTTTCATTTTCAAAAAAAAAAAAACTTGTTTTCTTTTTTTCTTTTTTTTTTTTGGAAAAAAACAAAGTTATTATTTTTCTTTGGAAAAAAAAAAAAAGAAAACTGGTTTGAAATATGTTAATGAGACATTTTTATATTGTCACTTGTTTTGTATATTTTTCTGTAATTTTTTTTTAATAATGAATTTTAGTGCGTAATTTTTTTTTTTTTCATCTTGTCCTTTGATAAGTAATACTGAATTTATTCTTTTTGCTTTATTAACGTTGTACGCATTTATAAGTTTTTATTTTTATTTTTGAATTTATGAATATTTTCTTTGTGACGTGAATTGAATAAAAGCGAGGAAAATGTCATTTAAGCAATACGTCAATAAACAAATGAAAAACTCTATATAAATATATTTAAATCAATACGAATAGAAGTATGGGTGTGAAACATTTTTAATTTTTTTAAATATTTATTTTCTTCTATTTCTTTGATCTATTTACTCAATTTATGGCCAAAAAAAAAAAAAACAAAATTAATTAGTGATTTTTAAAAATTTATATTCAATTCTATTCATCATAGAATCCCATGGAAAATAATTTTATTTTAATTTGATAAGATTTTTTTTCATGTGTCTGTGAGATAAACCTTAAACTAGAATTTATATTTTTCTAATTATTATTATTATTTAACTATAAATGTTAACGAATATGAAGTTTTTTATTTTGGTACCACGTCGATAGATTAATAATAATAATAACAATTATATGATATGTTAATAAAGTTGATTTTATAATAGGAAATTGCATTATTTTTTTTTTTTACAGCACGTTTAACATCGGTTATTTTCGAAAGTTAAATAAAATATAAAAATAAAATAAAAAATACGTTTACAGTAAGTTTTAAATAAATATTTGACACAAGTAATTTAAAAATTGTTTTTTTTTATCCAGCAAAACATGCTCCGGTATTATTATATAACAAATTTTTTTTTTTTTAAACCGAGAAATGCGTTTACTGTGGTTGAATGTTTAACCAAAATACTTTTATTATTTCGTTATTGAGAAAAAAAAAAGGCAGTTCGAGTGATTGTAGGTATCTTAGGAAAAAAAAAAAAATCTTATTTTACATTTAGCGTTTTATTATTTATATTAAACATAATTTCAATTTGATATAATTTTTTTTTTTTTAAATGCGTCACTTAAGGTTTATAACGTCTCATGAAAATTGTGAGATTTTCCACAGCATCACATTGGTCGCCAATTATTTTTTATTTTTTTAACAAATTTTGTATAATATGTCAATGAATATTTTGTGATTTAATAAAAGTTTTGTAAACTAACAATAAGTAGAAAAGATGAGGGGAGGGGAAATATTTTTTATATATATATATATATATATATAAATTTTGAAATGATAAAAATTTTCCAATCATTTTATAGTGTTGTCACTCTGGACAATTTAATTATTATTTATTTCGTAATTATTAATGTGCACAATGAAATAATTGTACGAATTTTTTTTTTTCCAAAATTTTTAAATTAATTTTATTCCTGGACGATGTTAATATCGATTAATAAATGTATTTATTGGTAAATAAATAAAATACGTGAATAACATGTTTTTGTTGTCGTTACAAAATAATCTTATAAATGTTACATTATCTTTGATTTTTCATCATCTTAATAATATTATTTTTATCCTTTATATAATTTAGGTATGTTTACATAAAATGATTTCATAATGTTAAAGTTGACATAATCGTATCACTAATATTTATATATATATATACAATTTTTTAAAATATTTTTTATAATAATTATAAATTTATTTTTAATTTAATTTTTTTTTTTATTCATTTACAGATGGTATTTTGGAAAAATCAAAAGGATCGAAGCAGAAAAAAAGCTTCTTTTGCCGGAAAACGAACATGGAGCATTCCTCATTCGAGATTCTGAAAGTAGACGAAATGATTATTCTCTTTCAGGTATTTTTTTTTTTTTTTTTTAGTTTTTCTTATACTCAACTTAATCTCTATTTATCAATATTAATATAAATTTTTTATTTTACTTCTCGTTTAAGTGAGAGATGGCGACACAGTTAAACATTATCGTATAGACATTAGACGAAGGTGGATTTTTTGCTCGAAGAACAACTTTCGAACTCTACAAGAACTTGTTGAGCATACAGTAAAGATCCGGATGGTCTTTGTGTTAATTTAAGAAAACCATGTGTGCAAGTAGGGTCAATTTTTCAAAAATATTTAAATTCAATTTTTATAATTTTATTTATTATAATTTTTATTTTTTTAAATTTTCAGATAGAGAAACCCGTGACGGGAGGATTATCTCATAGCACAAGAGACCAATGGGAAATTGATAGGAAATCACTTAAATTTGTGAGAAAATTAGGACACGGTCAATTCGGTGATGTTTGGGAAGGATTGTGGAACAACACGACTCCCGTTGCCATCAAAACATTAAAACCAGGTCTTTTTTCATTATTATTATTATTTTTGTGTGTGTGTGTGTGCAGTTCTAAATTTATGAAAACAACAAAGGATAGCCAAGGGAATAGTCCTTCAAAAGAATTTGACTATATTTAATTTATAAAATATAATTAACGATCATTATAATTTTTTTTTTTTTTTTAAATCTCGTATAAATATTCTTGTCGTCGAATAAAGTTTTTTTATTTTCTTACTTCTCAAACAGGGACAATGGATCCAAAAGATTTTCTCGCTGAAGCTCAAATAATGAAAAAACTTCGACACCAAAAACTTATACAACTTTATGCTGTTTGTACAATGGAAGAACCTATTTACATAATCACGGAATTGATGAAAAATGGAAGCTTACTGGAATATTTACAAGGTAAGTTAATTTTTTCAATTTTAATAATTTAAATGTGATTTTTTTTTTTGCTTCTTTTGAAATTATCGGTTAAATAGTTTTGTATTTCACCAATAACAAAAATAAATAAATAATAACGACAACCGGACATCATTCTGAGGATATACATATATATGTATATTAATTTTTAGGAAAAGGTCGACAATTAAAATTGGCTCAATTAGTAGATATGGCCGCTCAAATCGCTTCCGGTATGGCATTTTTGGAATCGCAAAATTATATACATCGCGACTTAGCCGCGAGAAACGTTCTCGTCGGAGATGGAAATATAGTAAAAATTGCAGATTTCGGTCTTGCAAGACTGATAAAAGAAGATGAATACGAAGCTAGAGTCGGTGCAAGATTTCCGATAAAATGGACGGCTCCGGAAGCTGCCAACTACAGCAAATTTTCAATCAAGTCCGACGTATGGTCCTTTGGCATTTTGCTAACGGAACTCGTAACGTACGGACGAATACCATATCCAGGTACATATATATTTAATATGATAAATGTTTTTTTTTTTGTAAAATTTTTTAAATTTGAAATTTAAAAAAATTATTATTTTTTTAATAAAGGTATGACAAATGCCGAAGTACTTCATCAAGTCGAACACGGTTACCGAATGCCGAGTCCTCCGGGTTGTCCAAATGCTCTTTATGACATTATGTTGGAATGTTGGCACAAAGATCCAATGAAAAGGCCAACATTTGAAACTCTTCAATGGAAATTGGAAGACTTTTTTACAATGGAAAGTTCCGAGTATAAAGAAGCATCCGCTTACTGAGATCAAATCCACCTTCCTGAGTATCCTCCTATAGGAATGAGACGTCATCAGTGACATTATCGATTCCGCTTCCCGTATCGCAGCAATAATGGTAACAATAGTAATAATAATAATAATAATTTTGTTTCCGACTGGTAAAAAATATTTTCGATTAAAACGACTCGTATTTTTTTTTTTTTTTTTTTTGATTGAGTGTGTTACGCACGGAAGGTGGATTTTAGGATGTCAAAATTGACGATATTATTTAATTATAATTAATATATATATAAATATATTACGGAAACGATTACGCGAGAATATTATAATTCTATTATGTTTAGATGTGAAAAATAGTTTTAAAAAATTTTTTTTTTTTTCAATATTGAAATAATTTTTCAATTTTAAGGTAAATAAGTAAAAAAAAAAAACTTGTAGGAAAAATATTCATTAGAATTTGATACATCTCGTTTAAAAAAAAAAATTAGTTTCCGAAATTGATAGCACGCGTGGGCCGTGAAACCATTTTTTAAGATTTTGGTGAGATTATATAGACAATTTAAATCGACGTGATGACATTTAGTTTTTTTTTTTTTTTTTTTTTGCAGTAATCACATTAAAAATATTAATTCTTCATAAGTAAATGAACATGCTAAGCCGTTATAATGATAATGATAATAATAATAACGATCGACATCGTTTTTTTAAAAAGTACGAATCGTTATATATACATCTAGTCTGGAAAATTGATAAGCTTACAATCGAATTTTTATTTAAAATTTAACAATAACAAAATTACATAATTTTTTTTTTTTTTACCTTTAAAATAACTATTAAAAAAAAAAAAATATGGCGCAATTTTTAAGTTATTTTCTCACTTTTAATAATGTACCTGAGCTTATCAAAATAATAATAATAATAATAAAAGAACTGAATTAATTTTTTTAATTGTTTTTCATTATGCGGATTAACTTTTATACAATCAATCATTTTTTAAAACCCACATATAAATATATATATATATAATATATATTATTAGCCTTTTATTGAGAAGCCTTTTGCCTGTAAATTTTATAATTAAAAAAAAAAAAATTTCTACGTTTTCACATGAAAAAAATAAATAATTAAATAATAATAATAATAATAACGAAAATAATATTTGAAGACTGCTGCTTATAATGCTAAAAAACATAAAAAGAGAGATGGCATTTTTTTTAAATAAAGCCATCGACATTGCCAATTTTTTTTTTTGTATAATATTTATACATACTCGGTTTAAGAACAAACAAGTGAAAAATAAAATTAAATATACATATGCACAAAAAAAAGAAAAAAAAACGTGAAATATAACGTATATATTATTATTTTATACTAGTTATTATTGTTATCAAAAATATGTATTGATTTTTATTACTGCAAAAATATTAAACATTCAAAATAAATTTTTTTTTTTTTACTATTTACAAATGTAAATGCGTGGGTGTGTGTGAGAGTGTGTGTGTGAGTGCGTGCGTGCGTACGTGCGCCCGTGTGTTTGTGTTTGTATAATAAATATTATTTGTATACTCTTTTTTTTTTTTTTTTCATTCTTTATGTATGTCCCAAAATACTAAAAGAAAAAAAAATTTTTTTATTAATGTTATTTGTAAATATAAATGTATTGATTTTTTTTTTTTTTTTTTTTTGTTCTCTTCACACAGTTAAAAAAAAAAGTTTTTGATATACAATTACTTTGTTGCACAAATCAATCATTGTTATTATTATTATTATTATTATTAACTTTAAGTTAAAAAATTTAACATGTTTTATTTTTATTTTTTAATTATATATTTTTAAATATTATTTTGTAAAATATTAAAAAAAAAAAAAACAAATTACGATCATTGATTTTTAATTTTTTTGATCTGTATTTATTACTTTTTACATTATATATATATTTATATATAATATATATATATATAAATTACTTTGAAATTTTATTATTAAAAAAATAAAACTATATATGTATAAAATCAATTTTTTTTTCTTTCTTTTTTTTTTAGGCTTTAGCATCGCGAGTATGTTTTATATATTTTTATTTGATTATCTACATATAATATTTTTATAATTAAACTCACCCCTCCCCCTCCCCCCAAAAAAACCATGCACATTACCATCACATATAATTAATATATTTAGAAAAAGAAAGAAAGAAAGAAAGAAAAAAAAAATATTTTTCAATTTATATTAATTTTATATTTAAGTTTTTTTTTATTTAGTACAAACTAAAAATTATGCACAATTACAATAAATAAAAAAAAAAAAATTAATTATTATTTATAAGAGTTATATTAAAATTATGGACTTGAAATTATAATAATAATAATGATAATGATAACATAATAAATATATATATATGTACGATTTGTAAATCTAATCAATCTAATTTTGGTAAGTTCTGTAATCAATTTGAATTGTTTTTTTTTTTTTGTTCTCTTTATTCATTTTTACAAAGTATGTACAAATATATATAACACGTGTATATATATATATATTTTAAAAACATTTTGGCATTTGCGCATAATCAACATCACCAAGTGTCCAAAGTGTAACCAATCATCTTTTTTTTTTCTTTTTCTTTTAAAACATTTTTAACACAACATAAAAAGAAAAAAAAAAAAAAGAAAAAGAAACACAGAGATTTAGTATAATAAATATAAAAGAGATGTCATACATATGGACGGCCTTCTTTTCTTTAAATGTTTTTTTTTTTTTTTTCTAAATCTTATCGATTCAATAAAAAAAAGGTTTATTAATTTACAATAACACAATTAATTAACTAATTATAATAATAATAATAATAAATAAATTGCTTATTAAGAGAGACAATTAAGAGAGACAGTAAGAGAGACAGAGAGATATTTATGTAGAAAAAATAAATTTTAATTTTTTTTTTTCAATTTTGATTGCCATGCACTGATGATAATAATAATAAAAAAAAAACTGAAAATAAATAAATTAATTTTTATTATTTTTAACATTCTCAAGAGATTATATTAAATATAATTGACGATACAAAAAAAGATTTAAAATCTCTTATTGAAACGATTATAATAAAAATTATTTATTTATCAATCCGTATATTATATATATATATATATATATAAATTAATCATTAATAATTTATTTAATTATTATTAAAAAGTTTAATAATAATTAATTAAATTAATGCAAATTTTTTTTATTTTCAGTGCAAATTAATAAAATATTTATTTATTTTGGCTAACATTACTAAATAATTACGAAAAGCAGACGATAAAATAAATTTTTTATTATTATTTGAAATAAGTATATTATATATATATATATATTATACTTTTTATTTTGTCACTCGTAATTAATCGATTTTTAGATATATATATATATATATAAATAGATTAGGGGGGCGTGGCGGGGGCGGGTGGCGAGGAGGGAGGGGAAAAATGTCTTTTACTTAAAAATTTAATATAAAAATTATGTATAAAAAACAACAATAAGAATTTATATATATATATATAAAATGAAACAACACATTTGGCACAAATTATTTAATAAAAATTAACCATTGAATTTTAATTAATATAAAATTAAAAAAAAAAAATGTCGAGTGATAAAATCAATAACACAACCATAATTAAAAATAAAAAAAAAAACTTAAAAAGGCCCACAGAAAAATTTACACGACGCTGTAATGGTGGTGGGGGGGTAGTCTTGGTGGTGGTTATGGTGATGCTTTTTTTTTTTTAACTATAAAACCTCAACTTTCGTCAATAAGTAAAAGTAATTATTATTAATTTATTAACGTTCGGTGGTATTTTTATTAAAACTAAATTTAAAATAATAAAATAATAATAATAATATTTAAAGTTTTTGTTTAACAAAAAAAAAAAGAACTAAATAAAAACTATCATCATCATTATTATTATTATTATTATTTTATTATAATTTTTTTTCTTTATCATTGATTTGCTCAAATTAATTAATTAATTTTTTAAAATGTATTTATTCGATTTAGTAATATAAGTTAAATTAAATAAATAAATAAGAAAAAAATTATTATTTTAAATTAATAATTATGAGCAAATCGTACACACGCACACGCACGCACGTACACACACGCACATATTTTTTATTTAATTAATTCGGCGCATTGGCAATCAAATTTTTTTTTTTTTTTTCTATTAATTTTTTGAGCACATGCCATTTTTTTTTTATTAAAAACATAAATAAATTAATAAATTAATAATAATAATAATAATAATAATAATAATATGAAATTTTTTTTTTGTATTTTCTACTTTCAATTTAGAGTAATGAAAAAAATTCCACGACGTGACTTGATTTGATAAAAAAAAAAAAAAAAAAAATTTTTAAAAAGGAAATAATTTCTCTTTTTTTTTTTTTTAAAGTTTTGACGATTTAAACAAATAAGAGAATCATTATGAGAGATTATTATTATTATTAGTATTATTATTATTATTTGATAAATTAAATAACGTTTTTTAAAAACGATATTTATTTATGTAAAATGTAATCAAGTTACGCGTGTGTTTAATAATTTCATTACTTTTTATGGAATAATTGACGTAAAAAAAATTTTTCTTTTTTTTTTTTTTTTCTTACAGGCATTATCTCAAGTCGTTATCAATCGTCATCACTTGTTGTTCCTTAATTAAATATATATATATATATATATATATATATATATATAAATAACTTTTTCCCTTTCATCATCAATTTCATTCAGCAACACAACATATATATATATATATACCGTAACACAACAACAACAACAACAACAACAACATTTTCAGGACAAAGCGATCGTCGTGCTGTGACCTTCGTTATAAACATTTTTATTTATTTTTTTTATTTTCTGGAATATTATACGTATTCCATGGTTCCGGGTCGAGTCAAAGGTTCCTGAGCCTGTAAATTAAATTAACATCATTAAATTATTACTTATTAATTATTGAACAAATTAAAAAAATTCTTTTTTCTTTTTTTTGTTTTAAATCAAAAAGAGGAGGGGGGTTTTGTTAAATGAATTATTATTATTATTATTATTATTATTATTTTACCTCCTCGGTAATTACGCTAGGATAAATTTTCTGCGGAGGATAAGGATTTTTTTCAATTGAAAATTGTTCCTCCGTTGTTTTCCTGTAAACTGGATTATCGAAATTCATACTCCTCACATTTCGGTGCAAATATTGTCGGTAAAAAATAAATGCAATCTGTAATTATTATTATTATTATTATTATTAAATATTAAAATATTTTGATTTTTTGTTTGTTTGCAGAATAAAAATACAAACCAGAGAAGTGGAAATGAGTACGATGGTAACAACGACTATAGCTATTCCAGCAACCATTCCAGTATCGGATTCTTCACTTCCGAAAATACCATTTTGACTTTTATTATGTACGAAACCTCCCGCTGGAAAAGTAAAAACAATCGTAAATCATTAAAAAAAAAAAAATCTGGTAAGTAAATAATAAAAAAGGAAAATGAGGATTTTCCCGTTGAAAATTTTATTTATTAGTTTCATGTCAGAAATTGAAAAAAAAAAAAAAATTTGTCGCGAAATGTATGATGTATAATATAGGATGATCAAATGAACAAACAAACACGCACACGCACACACACACACACAAAATTAAAGGTTAATTAAATAACGAAACCCAGAGGAGCGAAAAAAAAAAAAAACGTACCTGGATATGAATTCCAGTTAGGATATGTTTCATTGATTTTATCATCGTCTTCGTAAAAAGCTGAAAATGACATGAAAATGCATGCATCAATGAAACATTAATTTAATAATAATAATAATAATAATAATAAATGATGAAAAACAAAGCATTTTTTTAAACATGCGATTCATCCAAAAAAAAAAAAAAAAAAAAAAAAAAAAATTGATGGCCACATTGAAATTTTCACATTTAAAAAAAAAAAATTTTTTTCCTTTTTTTTTTAACGTTTCCCAAAATTCGTATTATTATTTACTCTTTATTTCCCCCCTCCCCTCCCGCACATACAATAAATTAATTTTTTTACCTTTTCAGTTGTGTCAAAAAAAAAAAAAAAAAAAAAAAATAATAATAATAATAATCGTGTACTCACGCCTTGAATTAAAATTAGGAACATAACCGTCGTGAACGTGAACGTCTCTGTCGAAGTAACTTACGTCTTCAATTGATGTCATCAAATTCGTCGGTGTTGTCGTGACTAAAAAACATAAATTAAAATTTCCCAAAGCTAATGAATGATATATGCAGCATTTTCCAAAAACACATAAATATTTTTTTTAAATGAAACACAAAAAATTAAAAAAAAAAAAAAAAAAAAAAAAAAAAAACGGAATCCCATGAATCCCTTAAGGCATTTAATACAAACTATTATTATCGACAATCACAACAACCAATACAATTTACAACACTTTGAATTTCCTTTTTTTTTTTTTTTTTTTTTTTTTTTTTTTATTTCATTCCTGACACTAAATTAAAAACTAATAAAAAAATTTGAATTAATTTAAAATAAAGGGAAAATTAATTATTATACTTACACTTTGATTTTTCACAATAAGAAAATTCCATTACGCGAGTTCTTACATATTCACACATTTAAAACAATTAATAATGTATAACATTTATATGTAAATGAATGAATTTAAATGTGGTTTTGTTTTTTTATATGATCGATAATATAAATGTTACGTGTAACAGTGATGACTCTGATTCTTTTTTTTTTTCAAGAAAAGTGAGGGGGGGGAGGAAATAAATAAAATATAGGAATGAATATCTCTGATACCAAAATTTACCAAAATATAAATAATAAATGTGAACAAAGCAATCATCAATAATCTCTTGCTTACTCTTAATCGTTTGCATCTTTTCTTATGTTTTTCAGTGCAAGTCGACAAAGTGTTCTTATCATGCACGACGTTATCATTTGATTCAATTGCGATATACTTACCATCTTCGACGCACATAAGTTCATCGCTCATGAGACGTAAACCGTCCGGACACGCGCATGATATTTTGGGCGAACGCGCGTTCATTTGCGGAGCAGGTAAACACAAATGAGAACAATGACCATTTACGGCCTGACAATAATTCAATCCGTCCGGTTGTCTGTACGGATGGTAAACGTGAATCACCATTGGATTTTCGAGCTTCGAAAAAAAAAAAAAAAAATTTTGTTTCGCAAAAAAATATAAATTTTGATATTTAATTAAATAAAATAGGAAATCATATACCATGTGCGTAGCCGTGACAGCCACAACATCTTTCCCCGTAAATTTATTAGCTTTATATACAGCTTTTTTATCCCAATCCGTCCAGTATACCAAATCTTCAAAAGTAGTTATTGAAAACGGATGCTGAAGATAATTTTGAGAAAATAATATAATCCGCCTGTTCGTACCATCGAAATTACAAGATGATATTGTATTCATTTTAGCATCCGCCCAATAGATTTTTTTCAATACTAAATCTAAAGTCAATCCGTTTGGCCATTTCATTTCGTAGGAAACTATTACTTGACGATGTGATCCATCCATTCCAGCTCTTTCTATTTTAGGTTCGCTACCCCAATCCGTCCAATACATCCACCTTAGAAAATTCAAAATCAAAATCATACCGAAATCATATTTTAGAGAAGAAAGAAAGAAAGAAAAAAATTTTTTTTTATACCCTTCTAAAGGATTGACGGCAATCGCTCTCGGTTCTTCAAGATCATCCTTAATTAAAACTTTTCTCATATTTCCTTCGTAACTGGCGAGTTCAATCGTGTTTTTTCCAGTGTCTGTCCAATAAATATGATTATAAATCCAATCGACGGCAAGACCGTCGGCCGTCGTCAAACCATTTTTTATAACAACTGTTCGGTCATTCCCTTCGTCTATAGGTGCTCTAAAATAAAATTAAATTATTTCAATAATATTTTTTTTTTTTTTTTTAAATAATTTAATGTATAAAAAAAAAAAAAATTTAATTCGAAAAATTTTGATTTGAAAAAACTGAATGTAACTCACTTGTAAATTTTTTGTTCGGAAACATCGCTCCAGAAAATCATTCCAGTTCTAAAAACAAAATCCAATGCTGTGGCTGATTTAGTATTGTTAACAATGGCCGTCATTTCGTGGTGGTCAAGGGAAATTTTTCGAATATCGTGTTTTCTGGCAAACAACAATGATGCGTGTCCTTCTACAGCTTTACACTTTGTGTAATTTCTTGGATCTCTTAGATACCCTTGAACGCACTGACACTTAAATCCTCCTATTTCGTTTATGCAAATTTGAGAACAAGTACCAGGTATTTCACATTCATCTATGTCTGTAACAACAACATATAAATAAATTTTAAAAAAAAAATTAATTTTAAGTGGCAATGGACCCTTATATAATAATAAATAATTAAATAACTTGCCGGTACAGGTTTTGTTATCGATTAATTTAAATCCTTCGTGGCAATGACAATAATAGGATCCTGGAGTGTCTACGCAAAGTTGAGAACATCCTCCATTGTCGATTAAACATTCGTTTTTACCGCAGCTGTCTTTAGGTTCGTCTTCCCATTTAGGACAGTCGAGTTTTTTATCGCAAACTTTTTCCAGTGATATACAAATTCCACCTCCACAATCAAATTGAGTTTTTAAATCGCATTTTGAAATAGGAATATCTATTCAATAGAATAAAAAAAAAAAAAAAAAAAAAAACTAAATTTACGATCCGATAACGGGTAGAAAAAACATTAATTATTTTAATTTTTTCTCTCTGTTTAGTATAAAATTCAGAAAATAAGCAAAATAATATATATTTCTATATGGGTTTGAAAATTTAAAAAAAATTTAAGAGGAAAACGTTTTAATAAAATTACCGCAATTTTCTTCATCACTTTTATCTGAGCATTCAATAGTTCCAGAACACACAAGATGTCCAGGAATGCAAGTTTTATCTTTGCATTGAAATTGATCCGCTCGACACGTTGTATTTTTGCACCTACTTATATCTTCGTCTGAACCATCCGGACAATCTTTGTCACCGTCGCAAACCCAAGATTGATGAATGCAAGATATTCTGTCTAAGCATTCAAATTCTCTTGCCGTACATCTACTTGTAGGATTTGCAGTTTCCGGACAATCCTATTTAATTTCAAAATTACAATTATTCGAACGAAAAAAATATTAATAAAAGTAAAATATGAAAAATTTTCAAAATAAAATTATTTAGAGACAAGAAAAAACCTAATTAAAAATATTTCAAAAGTTTTTTAAATTTATAATAAGTCACTAATTTATAAATTTTGAATGTTTTTTTTTTTTTTTTTTTTAATGTATTCGAATGCTCATTTAAATTTAAATATAAATTAATCAGTTAAAGAAAAAATAAATTAAATTAAATTTCAAGAGACAATGATAAAAAATATAAAACCGAACATAAAATAAAAAGTTTTAAAAAATTCAAAAAACATTAAAAAAGGGAAAAATTTTAGTTTTTACAAAAAAATGATAAAAAGGGAATTTGTTGTTTGTTGCCAATACGCAAAACGTTTATTATATTATCCTTTGTGTTCTTGGCTCTCAAACCGGGGGGGAGAGAAAAAAAAAAAAAAAAAAAAAAAACTAAACGGCAGCAAAATTTTTTTTTTTTGAAATGATTCGGTTCAATAAGGTTAAAAAGATTAAAATTTCTTATGTCTTTTAGGAATGAGAAAGCAATAACCTCTGGGTCAAACTAGAAAAGCAGGGATTCTCAATTTCTCTCGACAGGAATCGAAAAGAAGAGTATCTCCGCAGATGGTATTCATCTCACATATGTTATTCATATCGAGCCGAACGTAGTGGGAAGAACTTCACTTTCGGTTAACCACCAAAATACGGCGATAAATTGTTTTAGTTAATCTTTATGCCATTGCCGTATTTTATTCTTCCGTAGGATCTCATTGCGGTTATACTCAGGATATGCATTAAGTATTAGGGTTTTCCCCTTACCCTCCCCCTAAATTATTTCTATTAAATTTAAATTAGCGAGTTCGTGATTCACATTTTTATATTTTGCCGATTAGAGACTATATTTCGTAAAAAATTAAAAAAAAAAATAATAAAATAATATAAATTATTACTTTTTCATCACTGCCATCTGGACAATCGAAATCACCGTCGCATCTCCATCTGGCTGTTATACAATACTTTTCCGAACAAGCAAAGTCGGTTACGGGAGCACAAGTAGTGGCGGGACAATTTTTTTCATCTGATCCATCACCACAATCATCATCCCTATCGCAGACCCATCTCTCTTGAATGCATTTTCCATTCGAACATGTAAATTCATCCGATCTACATGTTTCATCTAAAATTATTAAATCAAAATAAATAAATGCATTCGACGCACACACGCACACGCACACATATGCGTGCGTGTGGGTGTGCCTGTGCGTGTAAGTATGTGTACGTGTATGTGCGTATGTGTGTGTGTGTGTGTGTGAGATGTTTTATTACTTAAATTAATAGAAAATAAAATAAAATTATATAAGAATCAAGAACTTACGAAAGAAAAGATGGACTAAATATAATTTAGTCTGAAATCAGAAACCCCGAAAAATCAAATAAATTAACTGTTAAAAAATTTTTTTACCCCACGTCATGCTTCTTACTCATGGACAACCTCATAATGATTTTATTTATGCATTTTTGTATGAATAGTTAATTTGTTTAATAAATATAGAAATGAGTAATAAATTATACAAATTACGCGTTTCGATAGTTTACAAGTAAATATTATTATTATTCAATATTTAAATTATTTTTTATAAATACAAAAAGGTCGAAAACAACATTATTTAATATAACTTTTATTATTATTATTTTTTTATTTAAATAAATAAATAATTGATATTTTTTTTGCAATAAAATAAAAAACATTCAAACGCAAACACATTTTTTATTAATAAAAACGACTAAAAACACAAATTTTTAAAAAACAAAGAAAAACATTTTTAAATCGATTTTGATTGTTTTATTAAACATTAATAACTTTGTATTTTTTAGTAAAAAAGAATAATAATTATTAGATATTTATTAAATTTAGTAAATTTGTTAAATTGTAAAATAAAAAAAAACATTTACTATATATATTAAATTAAGTAATTATAATTTACAGTATCGGTAAGGAAAAAAAAAAAAAAAAAAAAAAAAAACTAAAGTTTGATGGCGTCAACATGTTAATTATACACTTACACAAGCACAAACACTCATAATTAATTTTTAACCAGACCAGAAATTATTTTTTATGAACGCAAAAAACAAAAACAAAAAAAAGGGAGGGGGGTGCGTATATGAAGGTTTTAGTTAATTATTTAACATAAAGTTAGAGTTTGTAAAAAAAATCGTGCACATGCAAACTGTGTTAATTTTTTATTTATTCTTACTGCAGGTTTTCTCATCGGAACCGTCTGAACAGTCCGGATTGTCATCACACATCCAAGTAAGGGGCACACATTCCCCAGGCATACTTCTGCAAGAAAATTCTTCCGGAGTGCAAACTTTTGATTCTGAAAATTCAAAAAACCCAAAACCCAAAAAATTATTTAACTATTAAATATTTAAAAAACCATTGGTCGAGTTAAGTTAATTTTACAATTCAACTAATATATTTATAAGTTTCATATTAATTGAATAATTTAATATAAAAAAAAAATTTTTTTTTGTTTTTCCAGAATTGTAAATCGACGCTGGGACTCGCCTTTAAAAAAAAAAGAAAATTAAAATAATAATAATAATAAACGTATTTTAAAATCGCCTCCTGGAAATGTCAAAAAAAGAGAGTCAAATCAGTTTTTCGAGATTGTCTGCGTGTGGCAGTTGACAAAAATTATTCTCACGTAAGTATTGAAAAAAATCAAATTTTAAAATTTTTCTCGTTTCCAAAAAAATCTTTTGACGCTGATCCTTGAAAATAAAAAAATATCATTACAATTGCATAAAAGGAAAAAAATTTTAAACATATAAAATTAATTAACAATTTATACATAAAGTAAATTTTTTCTTTTTTTACTTCAACAAGTTAAAGTTAAAAACGTGAGATAATAATGATAATGATAATAATAATTTAAAAACATTTTTGAAAATTTTAGTTTTACAGTAATTAATGCAGTAATAAAATTAAAAGGTTTCTTTAAAAAAAAGGAATTTATTGGCGTTTTAGGTTGTTTTAAAAAAAAAATTTTTGAAGTAAATACATTCAGTGACGATATTTTCTCGTCACGTAAACATACACCCCCATTAATGAGTAATAATAATAATAATAATAAAATTTTGTGTCTTAATATTTATTTTTCATTATTCATCAGTTAAAAAATATAAATTAAACTTAAATCGTTTTAATAGCGAAGAAGGAGTTAAAATTGATTTTTGTGTGTACCCAGCCAATAATAATAATAATTATTCATATAAAATTTTTAGTACAATTTAAAACCTTTTTTCATTTTCATTTTCGTCAAATATTTGATTCAGTCCAATTCGTTTTTTTTAAAAAATTTATTGTTAAATATTTAAGATTGATTTTCTCGTAATATTAATAACTGACTATTAATAAAAATTAATTATAATAATAATAATAATTGAGTTGAAAAAAACATCATTAAATTGCCAAGGGAAAAATTTTTTAATTAATAATACTTATAAATATATAGTCAACAGTAGCAATATAAAAAATAAAAATCTCATAATTTTAATGAAAATAAAAAATAATTAACAATAATTTTAAATAAGCTTTAAAAACCGCCAACATAAAAAAATATTCTTTCATCTTAAGACATAATTTAAAAAAAAAAAAAACTGTTTAACTCTCTCTCTTATTTTTTGATTTAATTGTGTTGTCTCCGGTGCTTGAAAACTATAAAAAAAAAAAAGTAAAAAAAATTTTTTTTTGGTTGAAACGTTTTCACAACCAAAAAGAGAAAAGAAATAAATAAAAATAATGTGTCAACTTCACATTGTTTGCCCATGCTCTGGATAAAAAAAAAAAATTTGTAATGGCGATTCACGACGGCGCAAACACATTACTCGACCGAGGGTTTTTTTTTTTTTTTTTAAATTTTTTTTTAGGCTTACCACACCCTTCTTCGTCTTTTTCATTTAGACAATCTGCAATTCCATCACATACCCATGTTTTAACAATGCAGAAACCAGGCGAACATTCGAATAGGCCCTCAGTGCAATTTTTTACTACTGTAGAAATAATATTTATAATTAAATAAATAAATCATTTATTTAAACGAGTACCAAATTTCATATTTAAATTATGATATTTTAATAAAATTCAAATTAATATCATTATTATTTTTTATAAATCACATTTAAATTATAACATATATATATATATATATATATATATATATATATATATATATATATATATATATATATATATATTTGTTTTTAATACTTTGTGCAAGTCCTACAAATTGTAAAAATGAATATAAGAAATTCTCAGAAATCAAATTGGGTTAGGTAATAGCGATTAAATACCATAAAAAAAAAGGAGGGAAAAGGTAAAAGATTTATGGAAGTATAAAATTGTGTCATCCGGTGGAAAAAGCAATTACAAGTCTCGGAAACGGTCGCCTCTTTTCGGATTAAGAAACGATTCCAATTCACATTGTTTGAAAGAAAAGGCAAAAAGTGAACATTCTAACGAAGGAGGAAGAATAGAAACGCGGATGAGGGAAACGATCGGAAAATGAAAGGCGAGGGTAAAAAAAAAAAAAAAAAAAACCTTGGAGCGATTCTCGTTTCTCGGACGGACATTAATAACGAATCAACAAAGGATTATTTTTAAAATGAACAAAAGATACGGGCTGCAGACAAACAAATAGAAAAATATTAATCTTTATATCTCCTACCACCGCGAATATATTATATTTAGTAGACCGCGAAGAAAACGGGGGATGCTACAAGCTGAAAATGAAATTCGGCTCTCTCTAATACTATGTTGTCGCAGAAGGTCGCGATTAGGAAAGTAGGGGATCAAAAAAAAATTCGTTCGCTTGTTCCATGAGTACCCTTCGAAATACTAGAAAGAGCATCATCACATGACAGATCGGAAATCCCCCCAAATAAAATTTAAAGAGGAAAAAGAAAATAATTCGGAATAGTAATAGGATGACAAGTTTTATAGAAGCAGGAAAGTGAGGGAATAAACGGGAAGTAGCTTTAGTAAAAATTATGTAAAATCATTTTATTTGTCTTCTTTTACTAAAAAACGTCAAGAAAGGAGTCCCCCTCCCCCCAAAAAAAGGGAATTTTGCGTTAATCTCTGAGTTTGAAATTAAAACATCCTTATTTATCGATTTTCTCACGTTTAAAAAAACACGTTAAACTTTACTCCATTTTTACATTATTATTATTATTAAAATTTAAATTTGTACACATTAAATTTTATTATAACGAGTAAAAAATATAAAATTTTTTATTTCCTAAGTCGGTAAAAAAAAAAAAAAATTACTTTAATTTAAATTTAAAAAAAAAAAAAAAAACTAAATGCTACTTTATTCGCATCTAACAATGATAATAAAAATGTTTTTCTTTTTAATTTAGTAAAATTACTTTTAGGTTTGACTGCGTCAAAACGCATATAATATTTCACTCTAATTTTCGCTTTTCGCATTTGTTTTACACAATTTCCCCCCCCCCCGCCCTCCACCCGTACCTTATGAAATTACGAAATTTAAAAAAAAAAAAAAATTATAAATTATTATACTATTTTCGTAAATAAATAATTAAAACTACTTTATTATGTTAATAATTGAAAGATAAAATAGACGGTATGAATGGCAACTGATGGCATCTTTTTCGATTCACTATATTTAATACATAATTAGAGAAAAACCGTTTTTTTCAATTAATTATCTTTACACGATTAAGTTAATTTATAAAATTTAGTATTTAGTTGTGTTTGTTCCGGGTAAAAAGCGCCACACAAATATTTTTTACTTTTTTTTTTTTTTTTCATTTCTACGGTAAATTTTATTCGCAACCAACTACAAAATTGAACTTTTAATATTGTTTTCACTAAAAATTTTAATTAAATAAGAAAATAAAAAAATTTTTTTTAATTTGAATTCAGTTTTTTTAAATGAAAAATAATACGCAAATTATTAATAGATAAAAATAAAATTATTAAATATTATTATTATTATTTAATTAAAGCTATATAAAAACTCAAAAATTAATTTAAAAAAAAAATTAAACGTGCAGGCATCAATGTAGAATAATATTTAAAAAAAAAAAAAAACATTCGCATTCAATAAATAAATAAATAAATGATTAATAGTACTAATAATAATAATAATAAATAATTTACTTACGGCAAACTTTTGGATCTTCGTCTGCACCATCTGAACAATCCTTTTGTCCATCACATTGCCATGTCAAAGGAATACACATACCGTTGGGACATTTAAATTCCGTTTGTGAACAGGTTCTGTTGGCTTTAAAAAAAAAAAAAATAAATAAAATTATTAATTAATATTTAATTTTTTTCAATTATGAATAAATAAGTAGGAGGAAATTCTTGGTTTTTTAAAACCGTCACGACGACAAATAATTAATAAAATTTAATCACTTATAATGTTGAGATTTTTTTTTCCACTTTTATTAGTAAAAAATCATTTAATATAGTTAGGTATTACAATAAAAGAAAAATAAAAAATAAATAAATAAATAAGTACCGTGGATTAATGAATAAACGTTATGAAATTTATCGAGCCACAAAAAAATTAATATAAATATTTCCAAACACTTGAACATTTTATTTAACTTTTAATATTTTTAAATTTACTTAAATAATAAAATTATAAATTGAATATTCATACTTTTCCAACTCGACCATTTATTTGATAATGATTATTAATTAATCTTTTTTATTCAAAAAAAAAAAAAAATTATATATATATAACTTGACAGGGTCGGATTGGATTTTTTCTCTTTACGGTCAATAAACTGATCATAATTGACGACAAATCTATTACGTCTATCTAAAATATAAATAATAATAAAATTTAAAACATCTGACATTTTCCTTTTTTTTTTTTTTTCTCGGAAAAATCTAAAAATATGGGTGGGAAATTTCGGTGAAATCTTCATTGTCGCATATTATTATTATTATTATTATTATTTAACTACTTTATGTTTTTTTATTATATCATTAATCATATATATTTTTTTTTTTTTGTAATTATAAACGAACGACAGAAAAAAAAAGAAGTCAATAAAAATTTTTCACGCTATTAAATTTACCGCATGTTTTTTCTCCTTTGCTACGACAAATAAAAATAAAATTATTGTTATTTATTTATTTAATATACGTCATGAATAATTTTTGATTTAATTCACTCAAAAAAAAATTTATCATAAATGAAAAAAATTGAAAGCAAACATTTACAACAATGTTTAATTTTCTTTAAAATTTTTCTTTTTTTTTTTGCAACACCTTTAATTCATTTAAAAATTTTTTTTTTACTAAATAGAGAGATTCAAAATTTAATATTTTTCTATTTAACTACTTGAAATACAATAATAATAATAATAATTGAATCTAATCGGTTACATAAAATTTTTAGCGAGTAAGAAAAAAAATACTTAAAGCAATATTTTTATTGATACTAAAACTCCTAATTTATGTTATTAAAAAAAAAAGGAAAATAATAAAAACTATA